AGCATGTACTTTATGTGAGCTGGTAGAATTAAACAGGAACAACCTCTGCAATTGACAGTAAAGCAGAACTACAGAATTCCTCCCATCTTCGTTTCAGGTTGTATGTGTTGTGTCAGCCCCAAACTGAGTACGGCAGTTGTCTTTGTGGGAGTGGAGAGCATTCTGCAGTATCGCTGCCTAAAGATAAGCAGACCTGCCCCCTCAGAGCAGTGGTAGACTTGTGCCTCTGGACAGGGACGTGTCTATGCAGCAACAGGACCGACAAATCAGCATGTTTCAAGCCAACACCATCCCAATGCTCTGAAACGTCGCCGTTATCAGTGAACAAGGTCACAGTGTAGTAAAACGAAGGTACAAAGTAACTATGTTTTACAGCCTCCTTTACTTCTTTAATGATCATTACTTAGATAAAATGAAGCAAAAAAAAAGGACCGGTGGAGATAAACATAAAACATATTCACTGTGTTAAAACACTTTTACGAGTATCAGCAAGAGCTGACCTTGTGATTTCTTCCAGCCTCTTTTCCCACTCAAATCCAGTACCTGCTGTATAGCTCGGGGTATGATTCCTCGATGCTTGTACTCGGCAGTTGCTCCCGTCATCGTGTAAGTTTTACCAGCCCCTGTTTGCCCATAGCACATTATCGTGCCTAGAAAAGATTCAAAAGCAAAAGAATAAACTTAGGAGGGAGCCTCTGCATTTCTCAGATGGAACATCAAAAGGATCTCTCCCTCAGATCAAATCTACACTTATTGTCAAAATAATAAAAATAGCAACAAATTACCATTATAGCCAGTTAAAGCTTCAGACACCAATTTCTTAGCCACAGTCTCATAAGCCAGTTCCTGGGAGGTATTGTGAAGGACGCCATCCAGTCTAAAGGACCAGTCAGTCTGCCTGTTATTCACAACTCCTTTCTTGGCATCTTTTCTGATGTATATATCTATGGTCTGAAACCCAAAAAGAGATGAAGATAACTTTGATAGCCATGAAGAGTTTCAGCAGTTATTGTCTGAAAAAAAAAATACCCACTGAAGACCTGGAGGTAAGTAGAAAAGGGGGCACAAATAATAATATTGTTTTACTGATCTTGATGGTATTTTCTGGTAATAGATACTTAAAAAAAAAGGAAATGTGGCTAAGCTCATCTGTTTACCTTTCAGTGATGTGTCTGATTTCATAAGAGGGGATAGAAATAGACTGTACCACAGGGAGACCTCTTAGGTTGAAATGGTGGTTACCATTAGGAATTCCTCAAGGAACAGTCAGAGTCCCAGTCCTTTTGAGGATCTTCTCTAGTGACTGTACCAGAAGAAGTATGTTTTCCATAGTCATGCTTGCTGATACAAAACCACGAGCTACTGTCAGCACAGAGCACAGCATGCAGGAACACATGAATCAACATGCACCAAAAAGTTATGCATGGCCTTAAGGAATGGAAGAATTCTGCATTTCTGTGGGCAAAACTGAAATCAAATTCCAAACCTTTCACACTTGCAATCTCTTTTTCTCTACCTTGTTGTCTGGCCCAAACTTGATCATATCTTGAGCAAAATTAGCTGTTGGCTTGACTCGCACAAATGTATGGACTCTCTTTTCTACTGCATCCATTCTAACTAGAGAGGGAAAAAAGGGAAAAATCAATAATGTTGCACTCCCTAAAATGAAATTAAATGTTATTTGTCATGAAAAGGCAAGCTACCGAGTCGTCAAGTTTAAAAATACAGCGTTGACAAATGTTCAGCTGCACTTTCTACTCTTTATTAAAAGCAACTGTGGGCAAACAGTTGCTGAAAATTATTTGCAGCGTTGTTCTGCTCAGAAAACTGAGCATGTAAAAAGAGAAGGGTCTTACTGATCATGATTTCCTCTTGTGTATCAGGCACATTAGTGTTTGACAACACAAGCTTTTCTTCCTCTTAGCCTTGCAAAGCAAAACAATTGCAGGAATACGAGACGGATTTTCCTTTGTCTAGTGTTTTCTGTGTGTGAAGGCACACACAGCCTTGTTTTGTAAGGTCAGCTCATCCAGAACTGCGTTTCAAGCTTCTGAGGCTTTGAGTAAGACATGGTATAGGTGAAACCAAGCCTGAAGGAACTCAACAGCACTGCAAAGGACCGCGCAGCCCATTGGTATGCCAACATTTCCAATGCTCTGAGCAGCAATTACCTTGTTTACAGTCTGTATTGAATATGCATTTCTCATATCTTTGTAACCTCTTCTTTATACTGATACGCAAAAATATATTAAACTTCCTAATGAACACCTGATCTTAAAGTTTCCAGAAGAAAAAAAGTCACGTGCCTGACAACTCCTGGTGAAATTCTTGTGTTGCTCTTCTGGTCAATGCAAGTTCAGTAAGCGGCTGTCAATATCTGGCAAAGCTAGAGGATTTGCTGGCTAAAATCCACCAGAGGAGGGCTCAGAGGATACATCCAGCTGCTAAAGCCCCATCTAAGAAACATGGACTGAGTATTTTTAAATCCCTGGAACATGCAGATCCTGTGTTTTCTCTCGGCTGTTTCCTACAGACAGCCTGTGCCCAATAGTTGTGTAATATCTAGTGACAACTTCTAATTTTGGACTAGATCTTTGTATCCCTTGTATATTAAGTATTTTTATTCACCTTATCTGCTGTGACTCCTTTAAAAAGAAACATAGACATGCGAGTTGAACCAAGACTTCTCTTTATTTAAAACAGAGGTGACCATTTGAACGACTACCTGGTAAAGGTACCGTGGGCGCCTTGTCCTTTTCCTCGACTACCGCAGCGATGCCAACACAATGCCCACTGTAGAATCCAAAATAGAGCTACGTTACCGCGACCATAATCTCTTCAGCATCGGTGACTGTCTTCAAATAAATGATCTGTGAAAAAGGACGGTGATAAAGAAGTGCACAGACGTCACCATAAGGATTCGGCTCTAAGTGACACACACAAAAAGCTGCCAAAATATTTGCCAGCGCTGCGTAAATAAAGGCAGGAGCAGCACAGGTACAAGCGAAATGGAAACAGACATGGAGTTTTAAAGTTGGTAACCAGCGTAGAAATGCTACTTATCTGGTTATTGGGAATGTTAGAGATCACAAAACTCTGCTACGCAAATATAACCCCATGCTGGAGGGGCATGTGCCTTATTTCTTCAAAGCTGCAGCAAGAAGCACAGCAGGAAGAAGGAGCAGGGGAAAATTTTAGGCAAAAACTCTAATATGAATCAGAGAGAGACAGAACAAATTCCAAATGAGTGGAGTTTTCCTCACTGCAGCAATGCCCACTGTTCGATGTTAGGACAAAAGCAAATTACTCCTGGGAGTATTTACTAACGTTAGAAGACAGGAAGGAAACCGGGAAACATCTCTCTGGCAGACTCCTAACCAACAGCATAGAGACCACAAGCTCTCCAGCTCATTAGCAATACCCCAAGCATCCAACCAATCTGATTAGTAATTGTGGGGTTTTTTTGTCTGCAGTGGAATTTTTATTGAGGCACTATGAAAAAACATACATGTTTACTGGTCAGCTAACCAAAAACGTTTCTGGCTGTTTCACCGCTAAATCATCCGCCCCTGGTTCAAACAGGAAATGTTGAAAGGACAAGAGCGAGACTTGCTGTTACCTTTGCTCATCATTCAGCACCTGTAACATAAACCAAGCAAGCAAAGCAAATCACAATTCACAACTCGGGGCATCAGTTTTGAAGCTCTTTATGACAAGGTGCCAAACCCAAGTTCCTTGGTCCCTCCTTACACAGCAGCTGAAGCCAGCAGGACTCCCCGACTAGTTAGTCTCAACACTAACAGACTATTTATGCTCAGAATTAATGGAAACACAGTTATCTCTGCAATGGAGGCAGACACCAACAAAGATTAATACCAAAGGGAAATTTTAGATGGGGATTTGGGGGCCGATTGGCACAGAAATGTGTACCCAGAGCAGTGAAGTGCAGTTTTCTGAGAGACCTAAGCTTATCCACCACAGATGGACAAAAGCCTGGGCCAAATCTAAACACTGGAGAGGCAAAGCTGCTTTTGAGGTGGTGACCCTGAGGCTGTCCCTAGAATTAAAACTCCAGTGATGCTTTCAGCATTGAATCCACCCAGTTCAACATCAAAAGCCCAGTTCTGCCTCAGCACCCAGGCCATCTGCACACCTGGGGCCACCTCTGCCCAAGGAGAACGGGAGAGAGAAGAGCCCCAAATTACCTTCTGCCTTCCCAGCTGACTGCAAACCAGCCAGACACTGCGGGATGCAAGGCGTTTGGTGACACGGCTGCACTGATAATGGGGGCCTAGGAGAGATGACAGAAGAGGTGGGATGAGGGCATGAGGATGGCCGAGATAACAGGCAACAGAGGGAGTGCCGTGGACAGCCATGCCCACAGCCCCGCTTGCTGGAGAGGAGGTCAAAGGAGGTGACCTGAGAGGGAGCTGGGGCCGAGGCGGGGGCTGTGGGGACAGGGAAAAGATCGTCCATGTCTTAGCAGACCTGGGGGGGTGGGGGGTGGAGATGGTGGGGACACAAGGTCTTGAGGAGGTGAGGTTGGGAGACGGCGAGAGGGAGAGCAAGGCCTACGGAGACATCGCCTGAGTGAGGGGAACAAAGCCTGGGGGGCAGGAGGCGAGGCCTTGCGGGGGGGGGACGACGACAAGGCCTGGAGAAGGGGGACAAAGCCTGGGGGGCAGGAGGCGAGGCCTTGCCGGGGGGGGACGACGACAAGGCCTGGAGAAGGGGGACAAAGCCTGCGGGGCTGATGCGGCCTGTGGGGACACCACGGCCGGAGGAGGCGGCTGACGACAAGGCCCTGAGGAGGGGGTGACCCCCAGGGGCAGCCCCCACCCCTCACCTACCTGCGTCCCCTCCTCAACCGGGCCCGGGCGAGGAGAAGCCGCGGCGGCCAGCGGGGGTTGTGTACGCCGTTGCCATGGCACCTACCTCTTCCGGTCTCTCCCGGAAGCGGAGGGAGGCGGAAGTGGGGTGGGTGTGTGTGTGAGGGCCGCGTTACGGTGGCCGGGCGGGGACAAGGCGCGGGGGAGGCGAAGCGAGGCGGGGAGCGGCGGGAGCGGTCGGGAAGATGCTGGAGACGACGACGACGGCGGCGGCGGCGGTGGCCGAGCCGGAGCTGGATCCTGAGGACTTGGTTCATTTCTCGGTGGGCGATTTGCCCAGCCGCGGCTACGGCGTGATGGGCGAGATCCGGCGGCAGGGCAAGCTCTGCGATGTGACCCTCAAGGTGCGGCCCGACCCGGCCCCGGGGCGGGGGGGAGGCTGAGGGACCCCCCGATCCCTGAGGGGATGGTGAGGGACCCTCCGGTCCCTTTGCCTGGGAGGAGGAGGCAGCTGGGGTCCCCTCGGGTGCCTTTGGTGAGGGGACAAGGCAGGGAGGTGAGGGCCCCTTTGGGGTGGGGGGAACTGAGGGGCCCCTTTGGTGGGGGATAAGGGAGAAGCTGAGGGCCCCCCCCAGCCCCTTTGCTGGGGAGAAGGGGAGCTGAGGGTCCCCCCTCCGCATGGTTTTTGGCAGCAAAGAGCGGTGTTGAGACACACACACACCCCCCCAGCCGACTCAGTGGGGTGTAAGGGGGTGTTGGGCCTCCCCAGCCCTGGGGGGGGCCTGTGGGGGTCCTTTGGGGGTAAAGGGGGTGCCGAGCACCTCCAGGCCAGGGTGGCCGCAGGGATGTGCCGGTGACACCCCAACGCTGTGCCTCAGCCCAGGAAACAGGGTGGGAGATGGAGCCTCCCTCTCCCTTGGGACCGTCGTGGTTTTTCCAGCTGCCAGGCAGGGTGATTCAATAAAATGTCTTGTTTTGGGAGAAAATGGGGCACCCCAGGCCCCCCTGCCACATTTCAGTGCTGGTCCTGGCACTGAGGAGTGGTTTGGGAGGTGACGCTGTGGATGGGGTTGGTGCAGGTTTATGGACCAACCTCTGCTCCAACCCGTGGGAGAAGAGTCCTTTTCCCTAGGAAACCTCTATCTTTTAAGAACATCCACTTTCTTACATCAAAGAAATAATCTATAACCTTGGTAAATCCTCAGGATTGTGTGCCTGGCTCTGGGGGGGTGGGCTGGAAGGGCTTTGAGAGTGGCCCGTGGCCAGCACTGGGCAGGAGATGCCGGAGTCCTTCAGACCGGGAGCTCACGGGCAGAGGAGTTTGTCGTGGGGTGGGTGCGACATGCAACTCCTAGGATCGGTTGAGTCATTCCAGAATTAACACTGAAGTTTAATTAAACATGAAGGTGTTTCCCAGCCTACTCATGCTGAAACTTTTCACCTACCTCCCGCTGCCGAAGAGGGAGCTGGCAAGCGTTGTGCCTGTTGTGGAGACCGCAGAACGCGTGATTGGGGTGCACCCCTGGGCTATGCAGGGCTGCTTCATCCCTGTAGATCAGCTCTAGCCTCCCAGAAAGAGGGACTGCTTCGCAGGGTGAAATGCTCATTGTGAAGAGCATGGCTGTGCGCTGATCCTCTTTGGCGGAGGTTGTACCTTCTAAGACATGGAATTTGCGATAGTCTGTAACGTAACCTGGGGGAGTTCTGTGACAAAAGTGGTTTGTGATGGAGAGCACAGTTTTATTAGAATTAAATTTTGTATTATTGAGGTGGCTTCATGTTGCAGAGGTCCTGCGAGTCCCACAGCTCTGGAATCATGATAGTGAACCAGCTGTGGGTCCTGTTGCTGGAGTTGGGCTGCTCTGCACGGTCTGGAGGGAGACAATAGCGACGAGGTATATGACCCCAGCCTTCTCTCAAATAAGTGCCTGACCATTGTTCTGCAAAACTCTTCTGAATAAGTTTCCATCCCTGTAGATTTACCACAGCAAAGTGCTTTTTACATCTTGCTTATCTCACTTTGTACATCTTCTGTGGCAGAGTGGGAAAACTTTTAAAGTCTTGAGGGCTGAAGGAGCTCTCCAGTCCAGCCATCAGAATGAGTGCCCTGATGATGCTGGGCAGCTTTATGGATAAGGGTACCATGTTGGCCCTGCTTTCTTTTTTCCTTTTATCATTTTCTCTTCCAGGGACTGTTGCTATCTGGGAGAGTGCAGAGCCTTTCATCCCTACAAAGGTTGAAAATATATTAAGAAAGATGTCTCTGTCATTCTTATAATGAGTCTTAACTTTCTCCACTGCCTGGTTAATTCTTTATTATACTGAAGAGAGATCCCAGCAACGACCAATTCATTTGGCAGAGGGCTGACAGTGTTTCCGTGTTAGTTCAAACAGCCCAGCTTTCCCTCGTAGACACGCAGCCTCAGTATCCAAAGTGCTTCGTTCTTTGATTCCTCTTGTTGTATTGAGTCACCATGTCAAAATATCCCACCTCTTTGCCGCTTCTGCCTCTTGACATCAGATTTCTCAGTGCCCGTGTGTCCTGTGGCGATTGAATTAATGCAGCCTGCTGAATCCAAGCCAAGCATTTCCTCCCTGTTGTTCAGTACAGGGTGTCTTCTCTAGCTGCTGAATGTTTAAGAAGTAATTTTTCTTAGCTGGACTTTGGAGGTGGCTTTGAATCAGTTAGCCACCTTGAACACAGCTGACGCAAAACGTGCTCTTCCCTGACCTTGCTCAGGAACACTTTCCGCATGCATTGGTGAAGCTGTAAATCCAGTGCCATGCAGAAGAAGCCTGCAAAGTGAGTTGTTTAGCAGGGATGGCGTTTGAATACTTCTTACCCAAAATGAAGGTAGCAAAAGCACCGAGAAGCATTGAAAGTCCATACCCGAAGGAAACCATAGTGGGTCCTGATGTGTGTCACATCACTGAAGTGAGTTTGTTGCCCTTTTTTTCAATCCTAGTGCTTTTAGGCTGTCACATCTATAAAGAAAAAAAGCTGCCAAACACCACTTTGGGCCAGAAGTTGGATTCCTCCTGATGTGACCAGCATTCAGGCTCATGGCTGAAACAGGAGCAAGCAGCGTTGTTGCAGCACAGTTCAGGTTTTTAGTGGCTTCTTTACCAATATTGTCGTTGGGGTCAATGGCTGTAAATGATTCTCCTGGCCCACAGAAATGTTTGCTGTACAAACAGGCCTAAAATTGTTAGGAAGTGTCGATACTCTCGTTTGTTTGTTTTAATTATTCCCCTCGTAAAGCCAGGCAAGCATTCATTCAGTAAATAGGAGGGGCCGAATATATTCTCCTTTCTCAGAAACTGTCTTGCTGCAGTTCATGCTGCTCTGCGGAAGACAGTGCTGCCTCAGCAGCGTACAGCAGCTGGGTTTAGATGCGATTAAAAGCAAGAAGTGCTGATTTGACTGGCTCCCTTGGAGCTCCGATTATTCAAACTCAGCTTAGGGAAATCTGTCACTGCTTCTCCTGATTGCCCACGTGAAAACGAAGTTTCACGGGGCAGTAAGTGAGCTGCATGTCTTTCCAGCAGCTTAGGATCTGTTCATCGAGAGCCAAAGCTCCTTTCCTGCACGGATGGTCGAGCCTACAGATTTGAAAAGTCCTTTTCTATTCCTGTCTCTTAAATAGCTGCAGGTCAGAGCTCCTCTTGAAGATGTTCCATCACAGGCATCGGTCCTTTCAATCTCCCTTTAGTGACTCTTAAGTGTTTACTTAAAGAATAATTTTAGGATGGTTTGGTAGAAACAAATGTGAATAAACTGGAGGGAGGAGGGTAGCAAGGAGGCACACCTTATTCTGTGGTTAGTTCATTTTCCTTTGGTGAAAGTAGGATTTTTGCTTACTAAAGCCAAATTTCTGCTACTGCTTTCTTCTCTCCGGATTGCTAGGTTGTGTCTCAGCGTGGCCTTGTCTGGTTAAAAAAAAAACCAACAACAAAACCTGTTTGCCAGTTTAACCTGACCAGTTTTCAGTTTTGGACTATACACTTCGAAGTGTGATAGTAGACCCTGAAATCAGGGCGTCCTGCAAAACCAGCAGAGAAGCAGCTGTTCTCCATGCACCTCTCCATACCCAGCATCTGGGACCAAACTGGGGTTTCCAGTGATGGACTGAAGTTTGAATTGTCCAGATTCCTCAGGCTTGAAATGGGTTGTGAATGGCAAAATTTATATACGTACGAGGGATGGGTTCAAATTTAATCATCTTAGCATCTCTGGCTATGGAGCAGAACCTGCTGTAGGGAGATCTCCTCTGGGTGCCACCTACTATGGGTCAGATGTTTTCGCAGTTACTGACAGCTGGGTTTTTCAGATTAAATCAGTGAGGTTTGATTTCTGCATCCACCTGTTTTCCCCCAGAAACTGGATATAAAGCCTTTTCTTTCAGGCTGTCTTCATGTTAGGAGACTTTTGGGTTGTTTTCTGGCTTCTTTGTGTGCAGTGTTGTCATGCTCCAGTCCAGGCACTACTCCGCTTCTCCCTGGAGCTCTTTCTTCCCAAGAGCATTTCACCCTTAGCATTGCTTTCTGTCTAAAAATGAGCTAGGAGTCTTCAGTTATTTCTACTCAGCACTGCCATTAATTTTACCTTATTGGTAGAAATTCATTAGCTTCTTACTAAGCTCACTGGATGAGAAAAGCTCTGCATTAAAGGTTTGGGCCCTCATTGCTTTCGTTTCCTGTGCACAATAGCACAGCAGAACCCTTCCCACTTATTTTACAGTGGATTTGCAGTCTTTTTTTTCTATGTGTCTGTGTTCTCAAAGCATTTTAGAGCTCACAAATAAATGCTGCAAAAATGTGAAAAATGTCAGTTCACTGACGAGTGCAGGTATTTGGGGGGGTTATTCCCTGATCTGGAGATCCTGATCTGCTTTTTAATTGTAGAAAAGAAGCTACTCTGTGTTTGTGTTCTTCCTGAGCATTGTGTTTTGAAGACAAATATCCTCTTGAGGTGAAAGCTGCTTGGGTAGCTTTGTTTTCTGGAGTTTGCATCTCTGCTTTAGGCCAAGGTACAAGTGCTCTCTGGGGACACATCAGCAGCTTGCTGGAAGCCTGTGGACTGCACCGCTCCATAAAACAGGGAAGCAATACTCGTCCTATTTCTTCATTGATAAATTTGGGGGGTTTATAGCTCCTGCTTGCTGCAGTCGGAGCCAGAGAACTGAGTACCAGGCTGGCACCTCCAGCAATCTTGGCTAAACCTCGGTCAAAAGAGAGAAGGTTTGTGCCTTTCTGAATCCTCAAAGAGCAAAGTTAATGTGAGCTCTTCTTATTGTTGCTGCTCCTTGTTTGGTTTTGAATCGCTCGAATGCCATATTTCCATGACTAACTCCAAGACTAATTAGAAAAGTCTCTTTAAAAAATAATGCAAGCCTGGCAAGTT